GGGGAGGGGGCGAGACCCCCGGGGTGCTGAGCGAGGCCGTCAGGGCACAGAACAGCTTCCTGCTCACCTTGCGAGCCGGCCGGAGCTGGGGGGGTGGTGGATAACAATGGGGGGCCTTGTGTGGGCCCCCCCGCTGGCAGGCCCCCAGAGCAGGACTGGGCAGGTCTCACTGAGAGACACAAAGAACAGGGAGAGCTGCAGCCTGTCCCTGTCATCGGTCAGTTCCACATTTCAACGTGAACGCCCTGCTGCTGCAGCCAACGAGCCAAGTGTTGATGCTGCTGCCCCGCGGGGCTCGGCTGCACAGACACCCCTGTGTTCCACCTGCAGCCCTCGCTCCCCTCATGGCCCGGGGAGGAGGATCCCTGCTCCAAAGTCACGGCCACCACCGGAGCTGTGCTCCTGCCAGGGCCCGTGTCCTGTGACGAGAAGCACCCTGTGGGGGACGGTGCCCCCAGGCCACCAGGCCACGGCCTCCTGAGCAGTTCAGGAGCCCCTGAGAGCTCTGTGGTTGTGAGACCAGATGTAGCCCAACTGAATGGAAGAGAGGAAAAGCTCAGCAGAATTCCTTCCTGTGGTACCTGTCAAGGGAAGACACAGCTTTTGGACATTTTCCTCCCGAGCATGGCCCAGGACTGATCAAACTCGGCCCAGAGTTTACCATTGAAGCACTAGGAATCCCCCTGCCCACTCCCCTCTTTCCTTCTCCAAGTCAAAACCAAGCTATTTCAGGAACCATGTGATCATAGAATCGCTTTGGTTGGAAGAGACTTTTAAGATCATGGAGTCCAACCATTCTTACTCTAAGAAAGTTATGCCCTGCCTGATGTAAGGCACAAGAACACAACAGATGCAAACTCTCCATAAGATATCACTATGAAGGGTTATTGCATTCTGCAGTACTCAGAGAAGCAAATCCCAGCCCACACAGCCCTGGGCACCCCAACCAAAGGCATGTGCTCCAGGGTCTGGATTCTCTCCCCTGCCTGTGAGGAGTAAAGACAATAAACACCAAGCACACCCCTAACTCCCAGAACCCCCACAGCACAGCAGCAGCACCCACAGACAACAGAGCACAACGTAAGACAGGGCTGGGGGGAAGCAGGATTCTAAGTTTAATGTGAATTCAAGTAGAGGCTTAAAAACCGTTTGGAAGTTGATACAGAGTTTTGAAGCGTGACCAACACCTTCACCAGCACATGAGAACAGAGGTAACGGGCAGGGTTTGGCAGGGCCAGGGCGCTGCTGGCCTGAGGGTGGATGCCTTTACTTGACATGCTCTGAATGCTCAGCATCACACAGGAACTGAACCAGAGAACACAATGTTAAGAAAGCCCCTTCCTGTGGTGAACCCATCGAGTCCATTTCCACATCACTCAGAGCCCAGGCTCTACCTGTCAGTGTTTCTCTGCGACTTGACACGGCCACAGCCTCCCAGAAGGGATGGGGAAGAGACGATCCACACTCCTTACACAACTCTGAATTACACCAACACCCCTTCACAAGGCCAGTGAACACTGCCCCACAGCGAAGGCCAACACGAGGTGCACAGTTATTGCTGCACAGGGGTGGCCAGGCTGGTTCTGAGTGTCCCAGCAGAAGGGACCTGCACCAACATGCTGCTCCAGCTCTTCAGTGGCAGAGGAAGCCCGGCCAGTGTTAAACACAACTACCAGCAGTGGAATCTATGGAGTAAAAGCACGTTATTTGCATATATGATTTTTCACTTGATTCTGTAATGCAAAAGCTTTCAAGTGTGGCCTCTGATTCAGCCAGCATAAAACCCACCACGCAGCCCGAGCCGTGCACCACCCACACCCTGAAGACCAGAAGAGATCATCCCCTGAGCCAGCAAGAACTGCTCCTGGGACAAGCAGCCGGTGCCAGGCGCTCAGGCCGGGCACAGGTGGAAGATTTTGACCTCGGGAGCTGAAGGAAGCACATGCAGAGTCCTGGCCAGGAGAAGGTGTCAGTGGGAGGCTGGAGTGCACCCAGCTCCCATGGCCACGCCGGGGGAAGCACAAGGACCAACTCGGTGCTCATCGACGTTTCTGGGAAGCAGCAGCAGTGAGGGACAGTGCTACGTGGTTACTGATTTTCTGCACTACTAAATGCAAAAGTTTGGGAGAATTAAACCTACTGTGAGCAGTGAAGTACATTCCTCTCATCCTCCCTTCTGGGAAACGTGATATATTATCTTATACTATACTTAAATTTATAATTTAAATATATTCTGATATATATTTAGGATCAGGGCAGTTCTTGTATGTACATGTGCTTTACACATACACCCAACACTCAGACGAGCACAGCAGACACCACGTGTTATTTAGTGAGTGGGATTGTCCTGATCTGCACCACACGTGCCACAGACAGGGATGGAATTTCCACCTCTGTGACCCGCCGTGGCACTGGGCTGCTGAACAGGACCCTGGCTGGGGAAACCCCACCAGGCAGGGGGCAAACGCCGGCTGTGCCAGCCAGGCACGGTGCCATGCTGGGAGCTGGGTGCTCCCAGAGTCCTTTCCCTGAATTAACCAGGCTGAGCCGTGCCCTGCCCAGGCCACACCACATGATTTTGGGTTCTTTTCCTCACATCACCCAGCAATACTTCACTCAACTCAGCCCAGAGGACAACGTGACGTCGGGTATCACAAACATTTGGATAGACACGTGGCTCATTTAAAAAAAAAGCCCCAGGCCCCCAAGGCCTGGGTGACACCGTATAATGCCCTCTTGGTTTCAAAGTGCATTTAAAGACCGAGATGTAAACAAAAATCACATCGAGAGGACAGGGAGGTTAAAAAGCGAAGGGCTGCTAGCTCCGGGTGGCGAACTACGAGCACATTACTGTCCTAAGGTGATTAACAGGGGCCCTCCCCAGGGTGCTGCTGCAGAGGCTGCAAGCGTTTTGCTCCTAATCCCCCAGGGCCGGGAGCAGGTCGGCTATGCTGTCGACGTAGTAATCGGGCACCAGGCTCTGCCTGGCGGGACAGTCGCTCTCCTGGTGGCCCTTCACCTCCTCCAGCGTGGTGACCCCGGTGAGGGTCAGCAGGGTGGTGAGGCCGCAGCTGTTGCCCATCAGGATGTCCGTGTCCAGCCTGTCTCCCACCATGATGGTGCGGGCGGGGTCGATGTGGAACTCGCTGGCCACGCAGTCGAACATGTAGCGGTTGGGCTTGCCCACGATGAAGGCCTCGCGCTGCGCCGCCGTCTCCACCGCCTTCACCAGGCAGCCCGTGCCTGCGGGGCAAGGGCACAGCGTCAGGGGCCACGGGAGACACCAGCCACTCGGCTCACAGAACGAGTTTTAAATAGAACAGATCCCTCGGGGAGGTGAGGGTGTGTGAGGCAGCACGTCACTCGCTCGGCTTTGCCCCCGCGGCACGAGGAGCTGGATTTGCCGCAGCGTGAGGCCACCGGCGGCGAATCTCCGGTGGGGCTTCCTAAACTGTACCCACTGAGTCAAAACGGGGCCTCCAGAACCAGGGAAATCAGAAAATAAGGAGCCTTCAAGGCTACAGCCATCAACAGCGGCTGCAGGGACACAAGGTACGGGCCTGGAGACAGTGAAAGAATCCAGCAAGGAGCGGGCTGGCCTTGCAGTCTCGGGCCAGTCACCGCTCGAACCAAAGGCCACGTGAAGGTGGCGTGGAAAGTGGATGCACAGTCTGCACAGGCTGAAATTCGCTGCTTGGGGTCCCTCTCTGGAGGCCCCCAGCTCAACCTGGCCCTGCTGCTGCACTACACTATTGAATCATTTTTGAGATTCACTGCCCGAGACTCAGCTTTGGGAAACCGAGGGTCTGGGCCGCGCTGCTCCAGCACTCAGCACCCACACAAGTCAGAACAGACCCACACAGAGCTCTGGAAACTCTATGCCCACGCTTGGCAGGCAGAGGAACAGCTTAGTGCCAGGAGTCGTTGCACAA